CTTTGTGTTACGATCTGCTGAGATTAAGCCCTTGTCCTTAAGATTTGTTTCCCGTGTGCTGCTTTTGGCAAGGTGTGCCTGTTCAATGACCACGCTTATTACCAATAAGTACGCTATGTCTTGCAAGGGTATTACATAGCCCATTCTTGCAATAAATCACGTGTAAATAATCGCGCAAACTTTAGGTTTACGCTGTGTTGTTATCATATCAGTCATGGGACATGTCACTGAGTGTAATTTCATATGGGGCATGTTGCAACAAAACCAGACAAAGTGAACATTGGTCTTACAAGGATTTCAGGGATCAAATTTAATCATCATTATTAATTGTATTTACAATTTTTTATTTTAAGCTAACAATCAATTTGTCATTATTATAACAAATAAAGGCATATTTAAAATGAAATTGTTAAAAACAACTAAAAAATTAGATATATATTAATTAACAGATAATCTCAATATCCATAGCCTCAGATTACTAAATATTCAATGTTTAACTAAATTATTAAAAATCTAAACTAAGCAAGAAAGATTAACTTTTTATAATAAAAACTTATTATTTAGACAACACAAATTTTCAGATGAAGTAAAAACAATTAAAATCAAAATAATATATAATGAGAAAGAAAAATCCTTTAAACACTTCCATACCACAATGGACACAACCTTTTTCTCTTGTTTTACTGACCAACTTCTCAAATTCTTCAGTGCTTAATGTTTTTTTCTTCAATGTAGGTTTTATTTCCAATTGACTTGGTACACGAAGCTTTTCATAAAAATTATTAAACGATCTTGTAAAGATATCTTTTATTCCTAATAGCAATCCTATATCATCAATGAATGAATAAATATCTTTGAAATCTGCAGGAATCTTGATTTGTCCTAGATGTGACATTGTGTAAGTAGCCCTACCAGCTAAATCCATCACATAAAAATCCACAGTATACTCAATGCATTGAAATCCTAATATTTCAATATCTGCACCTTTAGCTATGGATGAGTCCATACAATCCTTCATAAAAGTACCTAACTGGATCAAATCATTTGAATTTTTGAAAACATTATTTCTTTCAGAAGGTGGACTTACTTCTCCAACAAAAATCACTGAATCAATTTGTTGTTGATGTATTAAAGAAACTGTGAAATCAGGCTGCTTTGCTCTACTGGCTAAGTTTCTTATTTTGCTTTCGTGTAATTCAGTATTAGGCCATTGTACTAAGGTCTTGTCTGGATCATGAAAAAGTCCTTTCATTATCCTGTCCAGATTATTTGTAATTAATGTGATTTCACTGGGATTTTTGAAGTAGGCAATGTTCTTAGAAGATCCAATATAATAAAACCAAGATTGTCTTTTATAATTTTTTCTTTCAAAAGTTGCTCGCATAGCCAATTGACGGCTACATCTCTGGAATCATTTTTACCCATTTCGATTGCTTTCCTAAAAATATAAACAGGTTTATCAGCCAATACTATTTTTGGAAGCATTGATGTTTGTTGTAGATGCAGTTCTTCTAATAACGTAATGCCAAATGATCTTATTATTGTTTTGGAATAAGAATTGGGAATAAGCAATAGGATGTATGATAATGATAATATTTCGTAAGTATTTGATTCAACAAGCAGTTGTTTCTCTTTTCCAATTTTTAATGAGACATCCCGATATGTTTCTAATAATGTTTTGATGTTGATTCCATTTATCTTGAGTTCGTATCTCATTTTATCTGAAATCAATTAATATATATAAATAACACTAATAAATAAATAATACTAAAATCATATAATAATAAACACACCAGATTTATTTTTATTAGAAGAGCTTTGTTGTGATGGTTGAGTTGGTGAAGGGCTCAGTGAGTTTGATCTGTTTGGTTCACGTATATGAGGAGATGAAGATCCCATTAAAGAAGCAGTATTGGAAGCAGTAGTAGGAGGTGGCAAATTTTGTTGTTGTTGTTGAGATTTTGGGGGATGTGGAGGTGGAGATATAGATCTGGCAGAGTCACGAGTATCAATGTTTTCAACATCTTTTAGTGGTATCCGACTGAATAAAAATACATAATAAAAGAAAGAATATATAGTTAATTAGAGTGACGACTAGTTGCAATCACCACCACCATTCTTATAATAAACTAGAGTGATGGATGTTAAGCACAGAAAATGTACACTATCAGTTATATTTTTTTTCAACAAAATAAACATTTAAATAATTAATTGTTAAATATTAATGCTTTTCTTTTCATAAAAACTACAGCAACCCAGGACTCAAAACTCTGAATCCAGGGAAAAACCAAAACAAAAACCCAGGTTGCAACTTCCAAGTTGGAGAATTTTCAAGCCAGTCTTAATGCCAACTTTGTACTGGAGAGGTATAACATGCAGCAATCATCACACAAATGCCAGCTATCAGTGATCATTGCCCATATGATAACAGCCAAGCCTGGTCTGAGGAGATAAGAAAAGTTTTGTCCAAAGCCTTCCAACTTGTTCAAGTCGCTTTCACCTGTGGAAAAAAAAATTCCATGGTGCTGAATGGTGCTTAATTGCACGGCGCTTGCTTGTTTGTGATAGGAAAGTTTTAATTAAATCTGACACTTGAGATCAACATCAGATTTATTATTCATGAGCAACAATAATTGATAATCAGGAAGAATAATTTATTATTGTGAATCCCAGAGATCTGGGTAGACACGCATTGTTAAGAGTTTTGTTTATGCATGGCCTTGTTATCATTACTACCTGGGTGATGCAATTGTTGGTTATGTCAATGATGATATCAAATGTATTGAATAATCATTGTGATGTATGTGGGAACAAAGGAATTCATATATGAGGAAAGTATTAAATAGCAATATTGTGTTTGTCTATTTTATTTTTTATTCTATCCAAGATATATAATTAATTATATTGAAAATATATAAAATAAAAAATTGCCAGAGCGATTGCATGGAATACAAGGCTGGACCAATAACACAATTATATGCATGTTTCAAGGTCATTCAAGCAATTATTTGAATACATTGGTGCACTTTTGTATGCAATTTAAAATCCTTTTATATTAATTTAGAGTCACATCTTTCATTGCTTTTGTAGGTTGCATTTTACAAATCAAGTTATTTACCTTAATGTAATAATCATTATATCAAATTAATTTAACTTAGATTTTCAAAAATTGATATAATTTTTCTACAATAATAGTATTTTCTATGTTTATGATCAACAATGTGTGGAAAAATTCATTGGTAAAGGCAATCAATTTTTTATTAACTTGTTATTGATGAAGTAAAATATTACAAATATTCATTTATTGTTTGCTTTTTAAGTTGTATTTTCCCATTTTGATTATTGATGATGATAATCTAGGCCATAATTACTTTTCATTGGAGCCAATCGATCAAATTTTTCAAAATCACAATCATATCTTTTAAGTCATTACCTAAAACCATTCCATTGATTCACCTAAGTTTAATTCCATTCATATACTTCCTTTCAATTTTAAAACAATTATAAAAACCACAAAGTGAACATAAAATTATATATATAGGGATGTATATATATGAAAAGTAATAAATATAATGATTCTAATGAATATCAAAAAACCATTGATTTTTTAGAAAAAGGTTGTGGTTGTGGTTGTTCTTCCAGAATTCCCAAGGAGCAATTTGCAGAATTAAGGGAATCCTTTCAAGCTCTTTCTAAAGTAGAACAAGACATATTTCTAATGGCCCAACTTAAAGCAATGGATGGTGGATCAATAAGCACTAGCAGACACCTTAAAAAGAAAACCAGATCTAATAAAAGAACTTTTTATCATTGGGATCATAATACACTTCTTTGTCAAGAAACTTATCTCAATATGTTGGGAATTGGTAGAACTTACTTTGAAAATGTTAGAAAACATCTGATAAACAATGGTCTTTTAGCAAGGGTTCCTGGCAATGTAAAGAGGATGCCTCAATGGAAAACTAAAATGGTGATTGACAAAGACATTGCCACTGTTGTAAAGAACTTTCTGGAAAATTATGCTGAAGTTCATGGCTTACCAAGCCCAGGAAGAAATATCAATAGAATAACTCAATCAATTATATTCTTACCAGCTGAAATGAGTTATAAATCAGTGCACAGAGATTTTTTGGCTGGTCTAGAAGAAGATAGCAAATTGAAATCCTTAAAATATGATGCTTTTAGGAAGTTATGACATCAATTGACACCAGAGATTCAAATTATGAGTCCCAGGACTGATTTGTGTGATACTTGTCAATATTTTAGAGATGGTTTACATTATAATGCTCGCCAAGAGGAAGAAACTAAAGAATTACTCGAAAGATTTAAAGAACATCTGTCTAAAGCAAAAGTAGAAAGAAATTATTATAATAAAAATACAAAATTAGCAGAAGAACAAAGAAAATTAG